GGGGCGCCGAGGCCGCGCCGGGGCGGAAAGGCCAGCTGGGCGGCGCCGCGTAGAGTGGGACCCTGGGCGGGAGGAGGCTCCGGGCCGAGGGCCTCCGGCCCCAGGGCCCCACGGAGACTGCCGCGGACGGCGAGGGTGCCAGTAGTGGTGGGGACGCTAACGGTGGCACGTATAGCGGCGGGGGCATTAATGGTGGCGCGAATAGCGGCGGGGGCACTAATGGTGGCGCGAATAGCGGCGGGGGCGCCCAAGGCCTCACCATGTCCAGGCGGGTGGGCGTCAGGCGGCCCGAGGGGTAGGGCGGCCCCAGCAGCGGGCCCAGCAGGCCTGGGGAGTGGGCACGCGACGGGTTGCGGCTGGCCTCCGACTGCTCCTTCCACAGCAGCACGCGGTTCTGGAGCGTCCCCCGGGCCTAGTGGGGTGAGAACGTAGGGTCACCCAGGTCTGAGCGGCCCTCAATCCTGGAGACTCAGAAGTGGCACCCTAGACCTGGGACTTGGGCCCCCAAGCTGAGGAAGGAACAGGTTTTCTAGCTGTTAGGAGCTGAAGATCATGGTGGTGTCGCTTTGGACTTGCCCACTGTCCAAGTCAAAGGCCCCTCAGTTCTTGAGGAGCTTCGCCTGCCCCCTCTGTGTAGACTGGGCAGTTCTCCCGCTGCCCCATACAGGAGCAGGGGTACAGCCCAGGCTGGTCACTCAGGTTGCTCCATCCTCCTGGCTACAGTGATGGGCTCAGGGATGGCACTTACCCAAAACCTGTGACCAAAGAATTCAATCCCAGTACTCACCCTGGAATAACCTGGAAAAATATATCCTTTCACCTCATGGGGTTAGCTAACTAAACAGAGTGAAACCAACACAGGAAACTACAACTAAGCCACAGACAATGGCAAATTTCCAATGACATCTTGTGTGCTGCTGGATCCAGCTACACCTGAAGCCCTTGTACTTCCCAGTAACTAAAGTAGTAAGTACCTTTTCTGTTTAAGCCAGTTTGAGCAGTGCTCTAAAGAGACCTTCCAAATACATTTTTCCCAGTGCATCCCTGTAGTCTACAGGAGCATCCCTTTTCTAGTGTCCCCAATATGTGGGCATCCAACTCTGCTTGAACATTTTCAAGGACACAAACTCAGCAGCTGACCATAACAACCTGGGATGGGAGGGCTTTAAATGTTAGACCTGTGGTGTATATTAATCATGTTTTAAATTTTTGGTATTTTATGATTCTTTGACATCCCTGGGTCTTGCTATTCCTGGAGAGACTGCCCCTCCCAGGGTTTAGATAATTCCTAGGGGTAGTAAACAACTTGCCCCTGAACATGCCTTTTATATGCAGATCTACCAATCCAAACCTATATCCCAACCACTTCCTTTGACTCACACATTAAGCCTCTATTTCCTTTGCCCTAAATCGCCCCAGAGTCAGGTACCAGACAAGTACACACCACCCCTATAGCACGGAGCCCAATGAAATTACTCAAACTTGCCAATTCTAACCTGCTTAAACTTACCTCTCCTGGTTTGCCCATTCCTTCCATGGGAAACATAATGAATGTCTGGGCCATGATTTCCCCTCCTCTTCCTCCCTCTTGACCAAGCCCTGGTGCTTCCCCATGTGGCCCTGCATGGCATGGCACGACCTTTCCTTTTGGAAACTGATATGTAATAAAACTGTTTTCAATGGTTTTAATCTGTCTGTGTTGTCACTCAGTCACCTCTATAAATTAAATCCCAGGTACAGTCAGAACACTGTTCTGCAGTTATAAAGGTTCTTTCCTTTTTTTCTATTCAAACATTCTGTCCCCTAAGGCCAAGCTCAAGACTGTCACCTTTGGAATAATAAAAGCTTCCCTTTGTTGAACATTTACCCTGTGCCAGGCCTAGTGTTAAAGGCTTTGCCTGCATGATCTTATTTGATTCTCACAATAGCCTTGGGAGGTATGTGCCATTATATCTCCATTCGGCAGAAAAAGATGCTGAGGGTCAGAGTAGTTAACAACTGGCTCAAGGTCTCTCGCATCCAGTCAGCAGTGAAATGGCCTGCACTAGCCCATCTTGGGGAGGCTTCCTCTCACTGCCCCTTCAATGGTTACTCCCTTCTCCCTGGCCCAGCTGCTGAAAACCTCATAGTGATCTCAGGCAGCAAAAAAGGCTCAGAGCCTCGTGTCATAGGAGCAACTAGTCCAGTTGGACATGAGGGACACTCTCTGTTGCCTTGCATAAGTGATCAGCAAAATACTACCCAACGAGGGTCTTTGTGAGCTAGCTTCAGAGGAAGTAAGCAAGCGAGACCATTAGGACCTACATACATATTTTAAAAAGGCTTTTTGTCTAGTTGGAGACTGTTCAGTGAGCGCACCAGCCAGGGTGCTGGGGGCTCTGGGAGTGATGGCCACAGGAGGAGTCCCAGCCTGGCCAGAATTCAACTTCACTGGCTTCCCCCAGCCCTGCCTCCAGGCAGCTTAGCCCCTGGCTGGGAAAGAAGACCCGACAGGCCTTCACAGCCACAGAAGATATCATGGGAGAATTTTAAAAACACTTATGGAAGGAAAAGCCATTCTAATGATGATACAAACCCCATAAACTATAAAAGAAAAGACTGATAAATTTGACTAAATAAAAATAATTTTTAAAAATATGGCAAAACCTACAATAAGCAAAGTCAAATGATAAATGACAAACTGGGAAAATATTTGCAACTCATTACCAAGAAAAGGCTAATTTCAGTAGCCTATAAAGAGCTCCTACAAATTAATATGAAAAATGGAGGGGAAGGTACTGATGCGTCACGGGAAGGAGAGCAAATGGCTCTGAAACATGACTAGATGGCAGCCTCACCGATGAGACAAGTATCAGGAGAAACTGCACTGAGCTGCCATGTCACCTTTCTGGTTAAGAAAGACTGGAAAGTTTGCTCACTGTTGTCGAGGAAACGGGGCTCTCATACATTGCTTGCGGATGTGTGAATTAGTACAGCCTATGCCTGTGTCCTTGGACTCAAATTCCATTTCTAGGAATCTATCCTGGAGACGCACTTGCATAGGGAAGCTGAGGGTGAGGCAGAAAGGCATGTGATGGACTAGACTCGGACAAAGCAAGGGCCGACTGTTGCAGACGGTGGGAAGGATGCCTCGCTGTGCCAGGAGTGTAGTTCTTTAAATCTTGTTCTAACCTCGTGCATTCTGCTGTAGTAACAGGTCAGTGCTGATGGTTAACTGGCTTAGGAGTTAGATCTTGTGAACAAGCCCAGCTGGGTCAGACGGCATGCTACCTATTCCCCACGCCTGGGGGAAGCCAGGCTTTCAATCCACGGCCCCTCCTGGGAGGAGGTCACCTGGCAGGACGCAGCCATGGAGGGGTCAGCTTTCCTCTTAAAGTTGGAGGTTAACTGTTAGGACACAGGCAGAAAGGAGTTTCCTTCCAAAGAAGATATATGACTGGCCAATGAACATGTGGAAAGATGTTCAGCATCACTAGTCACCAGAGAAATGCAAATCAAAACCAGCACTTCCCACTCACTAGGGTGACTATAATTTAAAAAAGAGACAGCCCTGGCTGGTGTGGCTCAGTTGGCTGGGGCATCGTCTGAAGGGTTGCAGGTTCAATGCCTGGTCAGGGTGCCTGCAGGAGGCAACCAATCTCTGTTTCTCTCTCTCCCTCTCTCTTTTAGTTCCTCTCTCAAACAAAAACAAAAACATATCCTCAGGTGAGGATTTAAAAAAAATAAATAGAAGGGCCATACTGCAAAGAAGTAACAGTAAGGGTCTAGAACTAAAAGTCCTGAAGTTTCTTGGCAAAACCAAGAAGTGGGGGTCAGGGAGGATGATGGGAGGAGTGCGAACTTTCCAAAGGCCTCATCTCAGAGTACCAGGGAGGGCAGGAAAACCCTTCTCAAGGTGTCATCTTATGAGGCAGGAGGCAATGGACCAAGCAGTGGTGAGGAGGGTTTGTACTTTTTGGAAAAGCTAATAGGTAAAAATATATGTGATTGTGAGGGTCACAAAGTGAGGTCATCACAAGTAGAGATGAAAAGACCAGTAGAATTTACAAATTAGCAAAGGTGGAAGGGGAATGTATAGTAACTCAACCGAACTGACATAAACAAGAATGGGAGAAAAAGAAGAAATGACAGCAAATACAGTTAAATTGAGTTACCCAAAAAGAATAAAACAGGTATATCAGTTGTCAGGTTAAATGAAATAGACTGAATTCCTCTATTAGAAGACAGATGTCAGACTGGTCAAATAGAAAAAGTGAGCTATATGTTAGTAACAGAAAACACACTTAAAACAAACAGATGAGAGAAGAGAGAAGAGGAAGGGCAATATTAATTCCAGACAAAGGCGAATGAAAAGTATTAGACTGCTTTATGAGAGACACCAAGTACCTAAATGGTACCATTTACCGGGACGTATAATACTCATAAACCCAACAGCACTAAACAACAGGCAAGCTAAATACAGAAAGTAAAACCCATCAGAAGTACAAATGAGAAATGAAACAATCTGGTGCAGCCAATAGAAAAAGCAGGATTTAGGTTACAGGATAAAATTAATAGACAACAATTGAATAAACCTGCGAATCCATGAATTCGTGGGTGGTAAGTACATGCGAGCAGGAATGAAAAGCACCTGGCTCGCGCAGATGAAGCAGTGAGTGGACGTGAGGCTAAACCTCATGAATGAATGAAAACCTGACACAGAAGTGAATAAGCAGAGGTAGGCGGGGAGAGCGAATAAAGCGCCTGCGAGGAAGGAAGAAGGAAAGGGGAAGGGAGGGAAAGCCCGTGCGCGGCAGCTCACAGAGGGCACGGCCCAGCTCACCCGACCGAAAAACTGCAGGAAGGTGCTGGAGAGCAGCAGGTGCTTCTCGGCCAGGAACCGGTAGCGCCGCTTCTCTTCCAGCTCAGCCGCCCGCTGACTCTCGGACATGAAGGTCTGCATCTGCGCGTGCAGCCGGTTCACGCTCTCCTGGGGAAAACGGGATCCTGGCTGGAGGCAGGGGGTGGGTGCCCCATCCCACCCACCTAGAGAGCCAGCTGTCTGCAGCCTCCCTGTCCTCCCTGACCCAGCCGCCTCCTCCTGGAGGCCTCCCCTGAACACCCAGCCCACCCTAGCTCCCAGGCCTGCCCTCTCGTGGGCAGCTTCATCCTGGGCTCTGGTCCCTATAGGCAGGGCTGGTGTCTGAGCCATCCCTCTGTCCACAGCACCCAGCTCAGGGCCCAGCACAGAGGTGGGGCTCAGGGAGGTTGGTTTAATGAAAGTGCAAATAAGTTGATTAATAACCCCCTACTTGGGGGGAAGATTTTGAAAAGAGATGTGATTTCATAAAGGAGCAGAAGAGGAGACAGGAAGGGAGATGGAGGTCTTGGAGACAGAGGCCATGGCTGGGGAGGAGGGGCTCAGGAGGAGGGCTGGCCTTAGCCAGGGGCAGGATAGCACTGCCAGGCAGGGGGGAGGGGAAGGATGGTGGGTTACACCTTCGCTACCATGTTCAGGTTTGCTCAGTGAGAAGCAGGAGAGGTGCCAGGGTTTCGGAGGGGCCTGGGACACGTGGGGAGGGCCAGGAAGTGATGGGGCAGGGAGCAGTGCTGAGGGTGTCCCTGAGACCAGTGGTTTCCACCCCACCAGGAGCTGGCTGACCTCACCAGAGGCGGGGCAAACCACACTCCTGGGGTTGGTCTGGTGCTGGCTGGGTGAGCTCAAGAGGGTGTCAGAGGGTCCCCCCAGAGACCGGTCATGTCCCTAGCCCTTGCACCTTCATCTCCCGCACATTCTTGTCCCTCTTGCGCTCCATGCGCCACAGCTCGGACATGCACTTCTCCAGGTTGGCAGCTCGGTGGCGGTACTCGATCTCATAGTGCTGGCGGCTGTCCTTGGGTGGGGTGGAGAGAGGAGAGAGACTCCCATGTCAAAAGCTCTAGATGTCCGGACCATGGGTCAGAGCACTGGACAGGGACAGGCGGCTCGGCTGGGAACGTGTATAACCTGAGGTCCGTCAATGCCCAGTGCTGACCTCAATGTGCCCATCTGTGAAATGGGAAGAGGTGGTCCCGCCTGCGACGGGCAGGGGCCGAGGTGGGGAGGGCAGACTCACTTGGATGAACTGCATGTCCAGCTTGGTGTTCTTCTCCATGTGCTGCAGCAGGTCTCCATGGAGCGTCTGCACCTGTGTGGAGTGCAGGGCGGGGTGAGCAGGGCGGCCCTGCCCCCTCGGGCCTCAGCATCCCTCGCACTGTCCACTCAGGTCCATTGCCCACCACGTGCTAACACAGCAGGCACCTGCCCAATCATCACAGAAATGGGCCTACTAAGAGCGCCTGCTTGGAGGAAGGATTAAACGGTTAATCACGTGAAACACTTAGAGCAGTGCCTCGCTCAAAACCCCCTCGATAAATGCGCCAACGGCCTCTGATTCTTCCTCTTGGTCTTAGTCTGTGCTTTGATGATGCCACTCCCAGGGCCTGGAATCCCACCAGTCTTCAGATCCCTGCCCTGACTCCCCCAGGCAGGATCCAGTGCTCAATCATCCTGTTCCTGGAGTGTGTATATGTCTGTTCACCGCTCGTTCCTCCAGCCAGAGGACAGCATTCGTGCTGGGCCCTGCTTAGCCCTTTCGTATGAGGAGCGAGCGCCATGGGCATGAGCCTAGTCTGACCCATCTCTGTGTCCTTGGCACCGTGGGCAGGGCTGCACCCACAAAAGTGCTCTGAACTGTTGAGGCCTTAGCTGTGGGGGTGGGAGGTTCCCCCACCACCTGTGTGACCAGGAAGCCAGGGAAGGTTACTGGGCTCAGTCTCAGAAGAGCTAGGTCCTAGTTCTGGTTGTGTCTCCAATTTGCTTTGTGACTTTGGACAAGTTGCTGCCCCTCTCTGGTCCTCAGTTTCCCCATCTGTAATAGTAAAGTTTGGGCCAGATGCTAAGGTCCAGCCCTATAAACCCGATGAGCTTTGATTCTGTGAGCCTTGGCGATCACCTGGCACATTCCCCTTGTGTCCCCATCAGCATTCCCTGGGTCACTGCATCGTGGGGGCATCGGACCTTAAATCCTTCCAGCTGCCCTCTTTGCCCTTGAGTTCAGGTTGCACAACGAGCAAAGAGGAGCATCTCTCGCCTCACTGCCATCTCTGCCTCTGGGGACCCTCCACCTCTGCTTGGACCCCACCTCTTGCCACAGGGTGCCCATGCTGTGTTGTGGGAGCTCCATCCCTCAGGGTAGGGCATCGCCCACAAAAGAAATGCTGGCAATTTCCTGCCAGGACGCAGGAAAGCCCAGTAAATAGAAAAGTTCTGAATTGTAAGTTTTTCTCCCACAGTTGTTTCTGAAGCCTCGGTAACTGCTGGTCTATAAGGGAGCGTGAGTGTGTTTTCCCCGTGACTGGCCACACCCTAAGCGCCTGAGCTGTGGCTGCCAGTGTGCGTGCGTGTGTCGGGGTGGGGCGTGTCAGTGTTGTGAGCTGTGCTGAGTACACACTTCTGCCCTGTGGGGGCTCTTTTCTGCTGGGTCCACTAGGAAGTGAGGCTTCCCAACCTGCACCTGCGAGGCCTCCCAGCGAGGAGGCGCCTCACCTCCTCCCGGCCCTGCCTCCCACCCAAGAGACAGTTCAAAATCTCTGCTTGAACACAGAACGCGTGCTCCTGAAAATCCCCACATCCTGCTAAATTGCCCAATAGAAACACGGCCTATGGGAGATGCGGGGCTGGGGCAGACCTTCAAAATCCAGACAAATTTGCAACCAGAGCACTACTAAAAAGGGTGACTGGTACCTGGAGAGATGAACTTGAATCACACTGCAGGCCACAGAAAATATTTAAAATGCACAAAATCAACAGAATGGACACGCAGGCAACGCCTTAACTACTGCAGAGATGATGGAGGAGGAAGTGGGGCTATGACGAAGGTGGGCCTGGGCGGCAGAGGTGACACCGGACCCCTCCAGCTAAGAGCCAGGGAGGCAGGGTGCAGAGATCTTTCCAAATGTCCTTAAAATACTGACAGCAGACAAGTTGGGGGCTTTCTCCCTCCTCTTAGTTTTGTTTCCTTCATCCCTCTCCTGCCTGGAAACTGCTATTGAACAAGCCACCTTCCACAGTAGGATGTCACTCCTGCTTCCTGTCACATATGAACTGAGTCACACCACGGAAATGTGCATCACAGTGGGACAGAGGGATTGCAGTGCTTCCCATTGCCGCGGCCTGGCTGTGATCTCAGGTGGGGAACAGGACGCAGACCTAGGATGCCCCCATCAGAAGGGGCCCAGACACCACTGGGCTGATGGAAAGTCCTCGGCAAGCTCCTAAAGAAACGGATCTATTAAGAAAATGATACTTGGTGCAGACTTTGACCTCTTGCTGTGGAGGAAGCAGAGTGTCAATAATTAGCAGGTGGCTTCTGGAACAAGGAAGTCACCTTCCCCAGCGGGCTGAGGGACTCCCCGCAGGTCAGGGCCGGGGCTGCCCTCCCTGCCTCCCGCTCCGCACACTCTGAGCACAGCCTGGAAGTTCCTCGGTGCAGCCTCGCAGGGCGGCCCTGCGGCTGAAAACATGCACTGCACGGGAACAGCGCCTTGAAAAACTGTCTCTGTGGGCTGACCCCAACTCCTCTCCTCTCACCTGTTCTTGCGCCCCCACTCTCAGGCTGTGCCCCACCACGCCCGCAGAGTGCTCCTGTCGAAGACTCGGAGACTCCACGTCGCTAAGCCAGGTCTCAGGACTCATGCGCTCAGCCTGTCATCATCATTGGACACAGTTGACCACTCCCTCCTCCTAAACGCCTTCCCTCTGCCTCAGCCCAGCACCCTCTCCTGGTTTTCTCCCCCCCCCCCCCC